TAATGCTGCTATTGCTACTGAATTTAATAGTTTGCATGTCATGAATGTGTCTGAAGAAGAATTTGACAAAAATTGGATTCTTGACACAGGGTGCACTTTCCATATGTGCCCTGATAGGTCTTGGTTTTATAACTATAGGGAGACTGAACCTAGGAAGGTTTACATGGGAGACAATAATTCTCAAAATGTGATTGGAGTTGGTGACATAGCCATCAGGATGTACGATGGGGCCGTCACGCAACTTAGAAATGTTAGATATGTCCCAAATTTAAAGAGGAACCTCATTTCCTTAGGTTCTCTGGAAGATGAGGGATATACCTTCAAGTCTGGTAACAAGATTTTGAAAATTATGAAGGGTTCTCTTATAGTTATGAAGGGGCCCAAGAGGAATGGGCTGTACTATCTTGAGGGTAGAATTGAAATACCATTTGATTCTAGCCTTCTTGCTGTGAGTAAAGACAAAACTGAACTTTGGCATAACAGAATGGGTCACATTGGGTTTAAAGGTCTAAAATCTTTAAGTAATCATAAATTACTTGGAAAAGATGACATTGAAACTATGGAATTCTGTGAAACTTGTGTTTTGGGTAAGTCTCATAAGGTGAGCTTTGAAGCTAGCTCTCATAGGACCAACAGACCATTGGACTATGTCCATGCTGATCTATGGGGCCCGGAGAAACACTCCACATTTGGTGGGAGCAAGTACTTCTTGTCCTTAGTGGATGATTACTCAAGAAAGGTTTGGATTTATCCTTTGAAAGCTAAGTCGGAAACTTTTGGAAAATTCAGAATTTGGTTAAAGTCTGTTGAGAATCAGTTAGACAAGAAACTTAAAACGTTAAGAACTGATAATGGGCTTGAATTCTGTAATAGCGAATTTGACAACCTCTGTAAGCAGAAAGGTATAACAAGACACAGAACTGTTAAATACACACCTGAACAAAATGGGGTCGCTGAAAGAATGAACAGGACCATAATGAACAAAGTTAGGTGTATGTTGATTAGCTCTGGCCTTGCGAAAGGTTTTTGGGCTGAAGCTGCAAGTACTGCGGCTTATCTGATTAATAGGTCTCCATCCAGCAGTATAGGGTTTAAGACCCCACAGGAGTTGTGGACGGGAGAGCCTCCAAATCTGGAACACTTGAGGGTGTTTGGATGTGCTGCATATGCACATCAATCTGAAGGGAAACTTGAGCCCAGGGTTGTCAAGTGTGTGATGTTAGGGTATCCCGAGGGTGTGAAGGGCTATAGGTTATGGGTTTTAGGGGTCCAAGGCATTAAGATTATTAACAGCAGGAATGTAGTCTTTAATAAATCTGAGATGCCATGTCTAAAACAGAAAACCGAAGAAACTAACAAATCTGAAACTGAGAAGAGTATTCAGACTGATGTGAAGCTGACTAGGCTAAATTCACCTACACCTGGGAATGACGAAAATGACCCTATACATCATGAAAATGAAAATGAAATTGAACCTGAACCTGAACCTGAACCTGAAGAGGTGACTGAACTTCAAGATAACATTGAACCAGTTGAAGTTGAACATTTTAATGATCAGCTACCTAATCAAGATTATCAACTTACTAGGGATCGGGGGAGGAGGCAAATCAGGCCAAATCCTAGATATGAATCCCTAAACTTGACTGATTTTGCCTTGGTTTCAGGTGAAGCCCTTGAACAGATAGAACCTGCCAGTTATGAAGAAGCTGTTAATGGAAAATGTTCTGAAAGTTGGCTAAAAGCTATGCGGGAAGAAATGGAATCTCCAATGGAGAATAAAACTTGGAAGTTAGTTAACAAACCTAAGGATCATAGGATAGTTCAATGTAAGTGGATTTACAAATTGAAAGAAGGAAATAATCCTAGTGATCCTCCTAGGTATAAGGCCAGATTAGTGGCGAAAGGGTTCACTCAAAAGGAGGGGGTTGATTACAATGAAATATTCTCTCCTGTGATAAAGTACAAAACAATCAGACTGGTTCTTGCATTGGTTGTTCAGTACAACTAGGAACTGGAACAACTAGATGTCAAGACTGTTTTCCTACATGGGGAATTGGAAGAGGATATTTACATGAGTCAGCCTCAAGGTTTTGAGGTGAAAGGTAAAACTAACTGTGTGTGCAAATTAGAAAGATCTCTGTATGGGCTTAAACAAAGCCCTAGACAGTGGTACATAAGGTTCAAAGATTTGGGGAGTGCTAAGAAGATTTTGGGGATGGTTATAAAGAGAGATAGGGCTGAAAATAGACTAGTCATTTCCCAAGAAGCCTATCTAAACAAAGTCATAACCAAATTTGGTATGAATGGATCAAAAGCTGTGAACGTTCCCTTAGTAGTTCATATGAATCTTTCTGGTGCACAATCTCCTAAGACTGAGGAGGAATTTAGAGAAATGAGGAACATACCCTACGCTAATGCTATAGGTTCCGTCATGTTCTCTATGATAACAACCAGGCCTGACTTAGCCTATGCTATAAGTTTTTTGAGCAGATTTATGTCAAACCCAGGAAAGCCTCATTGGGCGGGTTTGAAATGGTTGTTAAGGTACATTGTTGGTACATTAAATCTGGGTCTAGTGTATGAAAAGAGATCTGAAAACCTTATTCTAAAGGGATATGTAGACTCTGATTTTGCTGGTGACAAGGATAGCAGAAAGTCTACCACAGCGTACTTTTTTACACTAGGTGACAATTGTATAACATGGAAGTCACAACTGCAGCCTTTAGTTACTTTGTCAAGTACTGAGGCAGAATATGTTGCCATAACTGAGGCGGCTAAAGAATGTACTTGGTTAAAAGGAATTTTAAAAGAATTGAACTTCATGCATGATACACCTGTTATGTTTACTGATAGTCAAAGTGCTTTATTGCTTTGTAAAAATCCTGTTTACCATGAAAGAACTAAACATATTGAGGTAAAGTATCATTTTATACGTGAGAAACTGTCTCAAGGGGAAGTTAATCTTGTTAAAATTCACACTGATAGGAATCCCTCTGATATGGGAACAAAAATTCTACCTGCAAGTAAATTTAGATTGTGCTTATCTTTATTACACATTGACACTGGTTAATTTTCTTGCAGGTGGTGGGCGATGATGATGAACAGTTCTTCCATGTGCAAATTCGCAACCAAGAGAGAGTGTTAGGAGAACCAAGGTGAAGAATGTGAGGATATGGTTCACCTAACCCCACCCAATGTTGTGACTTGATGGTAGTGAGGTTGACACAATAAGGTCTTCCCACGTTTTAGCAGAGGCATGGTCTTCCCTTCCTTCCCCTTCATATGTACTCTCTACCATTTCAAAAAGGTAGGAGCAGCTCTCGGTTTTTTTCTCCCAGCAGAAGTGAGCTCTCGGTTTTAGCTTAAGGTGGTGGTTCTTTGCCGGATTTTTCCCCTCTCTCTTGGAAGGCGATTTGCAAGTCATGGAGGCTGTTCCTGAGCCTGAAAAACACCCATAAATCGAAGAAGAAGCTGCTGAAACGAAGAAGAAGAAGCTGGACAGATTTCGGCCAAATAAAGGGGTTGTATTCTTCCGGTTTTATTTTCTTGTTTTTGCCTTGAATCTTGTTTGTTGATTGTTGTTTTGGTTGATTGAACTCCTAGGATCCCCAACAGGAAGTGTAGGTGTTTTAACTGCTACATCGTTGTGTTTGAGACGTCGAATAAATTTCTGTGCCCACTTACCTCCTTATCCAAGTGTACGAGCCTATTACTTAGTTATTGCTGCGCACCTTTACAAGCCTAACTAATTTCATTAGGACTGACTGATGATGAAGTCATTGTAATTGAGCCACTAGAGTCGGAAGGCGAGTGAGGTGCCTTATCTCCAGAAGAAAATGGTGCTGGTTCAAGCACAGGTAATGCAGCTAGTTTTGATCAACCTCAAAGTTAAATTGGTGTATACAGCGGTCTCCCCAAGAAACCAAATGAGCATATCCAAGAAATCTGATGCATTTTCTCTATCTATAATTAGGCAGTTAAGTGTTGAATTGATATAATTCATTGCGAACAAGATTTGGTTGAACAAAAAGTTCAAGGGAGCAAAATTAATAAATAGGAAAACTTAAGTTTAAGAATATGAAGCAACACAAACATATTATATGTTCACAATATTTTGTATCCAACTCGTTTGACTGCATCCCTCCAAACACACAAATCCAAAAACCAAGTAAACAATTAAACTTAGGAAATGACATGCAAAACTGTGTATATTGAATATCAACTTGTATAGGTAAGATGGACAGACCTGCTAGCCTTCGACATTACTAACAATAAAAATAAAAAGTTAAAATCTCATTTATTATACCATCGTGTCTAGTTTTGATTACCTAACACTAATGAAGAAGGAAAAAATGAGTGAAGCTATGCATTAGTAAATTTTGTTCCCGTAACATATGAAAGGTCTGGAGAAATCATCACAAGAGCTTAGGAAAAAGAATCAATTTTAGATCAACTACTTCAGAAAGATGTTTGATTACCAACTGTGCGTATATTACTAAATTGATGAATCTATAGTTTAAGGCCTGGCATTTTCTGGATCGGTATCTTTATGTCAAATGTCCGACTTCATATCCCCTGAAAAGTATTTACATCTTTCCTTGAAAATGGTTAATCATGTATCTATTACCATTGATGTCATATTTAATTTTCTCCAACTGCATTTTCAAAAATATATTTGTGTGTAGATGGAGGTTTGCGGGAGATTTCTTGCAATACATGCAAAGTGCACGTGCAAAAAATTAATAATAAACAGATGTTAGTTTCCATAATCTTTTTTTGTTTCTTTCTAATTAAAACTGGTAGGTGATATTAATATTTGTCTCATTTTTTTCTTGTCTGGATGATTTTAACTTAGTTGACACTCTAGGGCGACGTGAGAACTGAAACCTCTCCTTCTCTCGCCATAGTTTGTTTAAACCTAGCCATCAACATGACTCAAAACTTCCATTTATATATAATTGTTTTGCGGGTGTGAATGTGCATAACATTTTCATGTTCAATTCTTCATTAAATCTCGTGTTTTTCAATTCTTGATTGTGTAAAATGACTTGCAACTACATATCTTCTGCGTGAAGAATACATAATAGATGTTCTAAAATCAAAACGTGAAGTCCAAGTGATCCTTCTCAGTCTCTGCGGCAAATTGTGTTTCAAAAGTTTCCTTTCTCTCTCCCTCACACAGTCACACACACACACAAACACACAGTTTGAGCAAGAACAGTAGTCGCACGGAATAAAAAGATTTGTCCTGCTCATCCGTACAACGGACAATAAAGTACAGAAAGAATTCAATACTTTGCCTACTCTTAAGAGCAATTCTCTTGTGGGAGAACATTGTGTACAAGGAACAATTCACTTTTTTCCTTTTCTTTTACCCTCTTTCTCTCTTCACAAATTTTGTTAATTTTGAAGAAATAAAAAGAGGGTTCACAGTAGGATGAACAGAACTGAAAACTAAGCACAGAGAAATGACTTGTCCCGGTAGTCGCCAAGACGCCATTAATGAAAGCCCTACTTGTCCTTCATGCGGTCATCCTTTCAATCATCAGGAAAAGGTTTAGCAAATAATTAGCAATATTGTTCTATTATGAGTTTTAATTTTAATTTTTTATTCTGATAAATATATTTTTTTTTTCGTGGATTCGGAAAAAAATGAATAGAAAAGACATGATCTGAGCAGTTTGCCTGCCGGAATGAAGTTTGATCCGAGTGATGTGGAGGTTCTTGAACATTTGGAGGCAAAAGTGAGGTTGGATGATCATAAGCTTCATCCATTGATTGATGAGTATATTCAGACCATTGAAGGAGAGGATGGAATATGCTACACCCACCCAGAGAACTTACCTGGTAATATATTTAGATTCTGATATATATATATATATATATTTGATACATTGGCACATGAAGAAAATTCTATCTTGTATTGTATTTGGTATGGTTGACTTAACAACAAAGACCTATCTTCTTTTGTGTGAATAATACATCAAATATTTTCTCAAGCATTTCTTTACTTTTTTAGTAAATAAAAGTGTAACAATAGAAGACAATACTTGCAAAATATAAAACTAGGTAGCTATAGGTAAATTCAACTTCGTACATATTTTGAGATTCTAAATAAAAATTTTCTTTTGAGAATTCTTAGATGTTACATCTGCCATCAAACTTTCACTTCTTTTGTTTTTTGGAAGTGGATTTATTACGAAGTTGCATTTTACCTACTCTTGTTCGCCCCAATTTAACGTCTTTTATGCTTGGAGAACAACGAGATTAGATAAGATAGTATTGTCTATTGATGTAGGTGTAAATTTGAATTATCATGAATTTTAGATTATTCTTACCATAATTAGGTTTGAACTATCTTTTCTAATTAAGATTAATGAATTATTGACCATTTGATCCTCCATCAATGAAAACCTGCAGGAGCAAGCAAATATGGGCAAGTGAGACACTATTTTCATCGTCCATTAAAGGCATATACCACCGGAACTAGAAAAAGAAGAAAAGTTCATGCAGATGAGGATGGTAGTGAAACCCGGTGGCATAAAACAGGCAAAACAAGGCCAATTCTTGTTCAAGGGAAAGTTAAAGGATACAAGAAAATACTTGTGTTATACACCAATTATGGGAAAAAAAAGAGACCTGAAAAAACAAATTGGGTCATGCATCAGTACCACCTTGGCAACAATGCAGATGAAAAGGAGGGTGAGATTATTGTTTCTAAGGTTTTCTATCAAACTCAACCTAGACAATGTGGTTCCAATGTCAAGGATTCTTCTTCTAGGATTAAACCTAATCTTAACACCTCCAATTTCGTCGAATACTACAATCCAACATCTCTCTTCTCGTTTGATAAGTTCGACCACAATGATCAGTCATCTTCCCATGTTCTTCCGAAATTTCAAGTCAATAATAATTCTTTCATGTCTTGACCTTCCTTCAGTTCTCTCTTTTCTTTTCTTTAGTTGTCTGAAGGGTTTGGACAAGGTTTTATCAAAGATAATATTATTGTACACTTGGAGCCTTCGAATAGGTAAGTTGGCATGTTCGTAGGTGAGTTCGTTCTTTTCACTCTCTTATCTTACAACTTAACCCATGATTATGAACACTTGTTCAATAGATTTTAGAAGTGAAAGCAGTATCTACGGTGGAATAAATTAATATGCAAGGCACCATGATTAAGAAAAATAAAGGTCTTATTTGAGGCTGACATATATACACTTCCCAAACTTTTTTTTTTTTTTTCTCTCAATTAATTTATATTTTAGCTTCTGATGTAATTTGATTATCTCTGTATTGCTTAACTTAATTTGGATAGCTCAGGCTAACAAAAGTTGTACATGTTTCCTGATCTTCAACAATGGGAGAATAATCATAAATGGGAATGAAACATTCAAAATGTAATATTGTCTCAATAATAAGAAGTTCAGTTCAATTCTCTACTTTATTTTTTCTCTCCAGTATTATTACAGGTCCGCTTTGCACCTTTGTTTTACCCATAATCCTATGTATCAAGATCAAACCTTTACGAATAGTAAGCGTTGAGAGAAACATTGCACTTAGACTAGATAATGCCAAAAAAAGGTAATTCTATCGATAAAGGGTATTATATTTTCTCTATATTGAATTCTCTAAGGATGAAAGTGCATAAAAAAAATACAATGGCAATATGTATGTTAACTTAGATTTGCAGTATTGATTGATTTATTTATTTATTTTTTGGAACATATTGCATACTAATAGGATATAGAATACCCAAGTGAGAAAAGCCTAAAAATATTTTAACAGGGCCTTCGTTTAAATCCGGTCAGGTTAATTGGGCTGAATAATCTACAAGCCCAGCCAAGAAACTAAAAACTTGTCCATACCAACCATGGTCCCTTGACTTTGATGGTTTATTTCCTTTCCCCATGATTTCATTTCATTTTCTAATTTGAGTCAATCATAAGGTTTAGCCAAGTACCGACATACATGGACATGGTCCTAAAAATTTCTTGCTAAATACACTTTAAGGAAAAAGAGAGGATAAAAATGCATGACACAGGTCAAACAAGAGCAACCATTTCATCATCTATTTGCATAGAGAAAAAAGCCTCCTTGCCAAAATAAAGGATGATAGAGGCTTTGACCACGTCTCACAAGTGTTGACCCTGCATGAATAAACAATTGGAAGAAAAAAATGGCCCCACCCCTTATTGTGAGGGTCATTCACGGCTTTGATCAGTTTTTTCCTGACAGTGTAGCTCAGTTGTTGCATAGAAAGAAAAGAGCAAAGAAACCGCATGACAATCATTGTCCTTTCAAGTTTTACAGATGTCAAGAGACATGGATTTGTTTTCGTTTTCAACATTTGGTCAAAGACAAACATACATGCAATAAGAACATTGAAAACAATACAAACTAATTTGATAAGCCAACCGAAAGAGAGAAGAATTAAGAATTAAGAGAAGAAGAAGGAAAAAAACTTATTATTGAGCCACCAAAAAATTAGGATTGTAATGAATAACTAGGTTATTACAAGAAGAGTAAATAAATAAGAAAATTTACACTAGAAGGAAACTAAATAATATTATGCATAAATTAAGGAGGGTGTATTCAATCGGGACTTTTGAAGACTTTGATGGACTTTTTTTAAGTGAAGACTTGTTTGGATTTCGTGGATCTTTTAAAGATTTGTATGGAATTAGTGGAAATCTTTCGTAGACTTTTATGGATTTTCATTTTAAAATTTTTATAGACTTTTGTGGAATTCAAAAGAGTTTTGAAAACTTTCTTTTGAAATAGAATTCACATAAATCTGGCATGAAATTCTCATATACGAAGTGTTAGTTCCCATAATTCCCCTTTTCCTTCCCTTTCTTCTTCCCATATAATAAAAAAAATTGAAAAAAATAAAAATTTAAGACATTAATTATAAATAATTAATAATCAAAACTATACATATATATAGTTTTTTCATGTAAAATTTTATAATTTAATAAAAATAATAATTTTTTTTCACAAAAAAATGAATGAAAAAGGAAAAAAAATGTTAAAAGAATCCAATTTAATTTTTTCATAGAAAATAGAGATAAATAATAAGAGAGAGAAAGAAAAATAAATGGAATATAATAAATAGAAAAAAATAAATTTTAACATATCCACAAAAGGTTAAAGGAAAGAAATATTGGAAAAAAAGTTTATTTATTTTTGTGAAAGTCTCTCAAAATTTCGTGATTAATGGGAAACAAATTTTAAAATATTATATAAGTACTTTCTGTTTAAAAGTTAGTATTCCAGAGACTTTTATAAAAATCTCTAGAAGTCATAAAAATTTGATTACCCCAAAATTTATAAAGACTTCTAAAAAATTTTAATTGAATACACCGTAACTTTTAAATACTTTTTAAAAGTTTATAAAAGTCTTAATTCAATACACCATGACTGTTAGAGAGTCTCTAAAAATCTCAATTGAATACCCCTAAACTTTTTAAATCTCAAAAAGTCATTAAAAGTCTCAATTGAATACACCCCTATAAGTATGCTATATAAGGCTAACATTCCCCTGTAAACTTAAGATGCTATGGCAAGAAGTAATGAGAGTTTGTCAAGCAAGAAACGAAAATGATAAGCTGAATGAGATTTCGCATGACACCCCGAACTTTTTTTTTACTATTTTTGATATGGGCCTAAATTTAATATGGGTCACTTAGCAAATGAAATAATTCATGTTTAGATTTGTCGTCATACTAAAAGTCCAAAGGTTTATGATTTATTTTGCTCAGTTATACTTAGAATTTATCGTAAATCTTATTTGGGTCGAATATTTACGTATTTTAGAAGTTGATAAAATATATCAATATTATACTCATTTTATCGCTCATGTTAAATAATATAATTTAGAATCAAGAAAAAAGTAATTTTGAACTAGTTATGCTCAAGTTATCCTAATAGAAAGAAAAAAGTATTATCCTCAAATATTTTATTAATATATCCCTCTTACTATAAAAGAGGGAATCTGTTGGTTATTATTCATTTACGACGTATTTTGTTTTCCGCTTGTGTCCTCAAAGAAAACAAAAAAATAATGATGTGTTGGTAGTAATTTCAATGAAATTTGTGTATTATTGACGCCATTTGAACTAAATTTTATTATTATTATATAGAAAATATCTTCATTGTGATCAAATTTGCAAAGATTGGTCAACAATGTATATATAAAGGGGATAAATCTTTTTTTACGTGATTTAGAAAATTTCCTAATAAACTTTTAAATTATTTTTAGTGTAAAAAGAGACATGATTTGAAAAAAAAAATTTATAACAAGTTAACTTTAAAAATTCATCAACGATTGTGCGGTGGTCGAATATATAAATGTTCTATATTCTCTCAAAGCTCATTTTGAGAACTATATTATAGACACATCGTATGATCTAAATGAATATCGAAAATAGTTAAAAGCATATCAAACGTGTGTATTCAAAAATGGGTATAATTCGTCTTTTTTTAATTAAAAAAATCAATTATTTTTTTAGTGCTTATTATTTTTGAGCAATAATTTTCTTAATATAATTGGAACTATAGAAAGTATGTTTTCATAAAAGATGCCATAAAAGGAAGAGAATAACTATAATTAAGGATTTGAAAGGGAAAATAGCGGATTTTGATGTCGAAAATGATGCCCACCTAGCGAAACTTGGTGACCATGACGTGCGTGTCGAAAAAAGCTTTTTGAATTGGGGTCATGAGCGCGATTCTGATAACCGTAACCAAAGTTATGGCCAAATTACCAAAAATACGTTTCAAAAAAAAAAAAAAAATTTAAGACTGCGCGGAGTGTTGGGGGAACACTCCGTACTGCGAGGCAACACTCCGCGCAACGCAGAGTGTTTCCCCAACTACTGTTAAAATAATCCGCACTCCGCACTCAATTTCGCTGGGTGGGCATCGTTTTCGACATCAAAATCTATTGTTTTCGCTTCCATATCCCTAATTACTGTTAAAATAATAACATGTTTTTCTTTTTGTTTTGTTTTTCTCTCACACGTGTCGCCATGGCACTAATTTTAGAACTGAACAATTTTAAATCAATACGACACTTGTTCATACATCAATAAATGAGACTCACATGTGAACAAAAAAAGCAAAATGCATGTGTGTTGTTGCTTTTCTTACAACATAAAATTGCTCCAGTTTTCAAAGATGATTTCTTACCACACATAGATAAAGTAACTGTAGTACGAAATCAATTCAGTATACATTCAAAAAAAATTTTGAATCCAACAAATAAATTTGTATTAATCACAAAATTAGTAACTTTTGAGTCCACCTTCTTCAACTTTTGGTGAAAATCTACAACAAATCGAGGACATTAGAGTGTCGCCTTCAAATATATTCTTCTCATACTTTTTTTTTGTATTATGTTTAATTTTTCGAAACTGTATTTGATTTATTTTTTCTCTTTTATCGACTTTTCCTGTGCGCATATTTATAATTTAGTTAACTATCCTACAAGCTACTCTGTATATGGATATAATATTTTTTCATATATTCATCGTCGTGGATTGATAAAAAATAATAAATTTTTTAAATATGGTTCGCATGATGGTTTTTTAATCCATTTTCCGTTTGGTAGCTTATTATTCAATGTCACCAATAGAGTGCGTCATATTTGTTGGTGTAAATTTTGTTGATACACACTTCGATTTAATTTTTTCCTCTTTACAGAATTGTGTTTTACTGAAATTTGTACCTTTTAATTGTGTGGAAGCATGTATATAGGTTGGTCGAGTGAAAACAAAAAGCTACTTTCTTGAGAAAATGATTAGAACATCTTATTGTAAAATGACCATTTTTTCTCTCATTATTAAAACAACTTTCGGTGCATTATATTATAATAAATTTCTTATTTCGGTTTTTGACCAACAATTTATTTTAAAATTAATCGTTTGTTCAGGAAAAAAATTATGGATACCATAAGTTATGTTGGGAAAAAATAATGTTTAAGAACAAAATCTCTCCCAAACAAACTCTAGCTTGCTTGCCTGATAAATAAACTTATAAGCAGGGTGAGACATCAGACATGTTTTCTATACCAGTAAGAATTCAACACCAAAAGCTGACTACTATTCGAAAGTAAGCGTGAATGTTTCAGCTCCCATGTCCTCCTGAAGAATAAATTATTCTTCTCTTCTAAAGAGCTTATTCCATAGACTTGGGTTTCATACTTCCATGGCTTATTGTTTTGTGTTTTTTCAGAAATAATTCTACTTTATACTTCATAATTCGGACTTTCGAGAGTTTAATTAAATGTTACTTTATGTACAGACCTAAATATCCACTGGTATAGTGAGAATTTCATCATTGTACAAGAAAATAAAACTTGAGATATTTGTTTAAAGTTGATATCAATCAACAAAAATTA